TTGGACACATGGCGTGCGAAGCCCATTTCATGGGTGACCACAATCATGGTTCGGCCTTCTTCAGCCAAACTTTGCATCACTTTCAACACCTCACCCACCAGTTCAGGGTCTAGAGCACTGGTCGGTTCATCAAACAACATCACTTCAGGTTCCATCGCTAAGGCACGGGCAATTGCAACACGCTGTTGTTGTCCTCCTGACAAAAAAGACGGATATTTCTTTTCGACACTTTCAGCAAGCCCAACTTTTCTTAAGTATTTTCGTGCACGCTCTTCCGCCTCACTCCGCTTTAGCCCCAAGACATGAATGGGTCCTTCAATAATATTTTCTAATACCGTCATATGCGACCATAAATTGAAATGTTGAAAGACCATCATCAGTTGGGTACGCATTTTTTGCAGTTGTTTAGGGTTTGTCGCTTTGAGATCACCATTTTTATCTAAAGTGGTCTCTAACTGTTCACCATTGAGCTGAATGCTGCCCTGGCTCGGTTGCTCTAGAAAATTGATGCAGCGAAGAAAGGTGCTTTTACCTGAACCCGAGGAACCAATAATACTAATCACATCACCTGCATGTGCCTCAAGTGAAACCCCTTTTAAGACTTCATGATCGCCAAAACTTTTACAAAGGTCTCGAATCACCAGTTTTGCTGAATTTTCCATTGTTTCTCCTAATGATTCGATGGTTTTAAAAACGCCAGCCAGCGTTGTTCCAATTTACGAAAGATCCAAATGAGGATAAATGCCAGACAGGCATATAGCACAGCGGCAATGCCAAAGGCATCAAACGTGGCATAAGTGGCAGCATTGACATCTCGTGCAATTTTGAGAATATCAGGCACGGTTGCAGTGAAGGCAATGGTGGTTGCATGCAGCATCAAAATGACTTCATTACCATAAAACGGCAATGCTCGGCGTAGCATCGACGGAATAATAATGCGGGTATAGCGTTTCCAAGGCGACATTCCAAAGGCTTTTGCTGCCTCAATTTCGCCGTAGGGAATCGAACGTATTGCCCCTGCAAAAATTTCAGTGGTATAAGCTGCTGTATTGAGTGCAAACGCTAAAATGGTGCAATTAAGCCCTTCTCTAAAGAATTCATCGAGCCGTTCATGGGCATGGACAAATTCGAGGCTATAAATCCCGGTATAGATAATCAGCAACTGCACATATAA